GGGGAGGCCCCTGAGTGCGGCCTGGCCCGGCCTGGGGGCCCGCACTGCGCTAGGAGCCGCTGTGGTGTGCGCGGTGATTTGGGCCATCTCGGTCGGTCGGGGAGAGTGTGAAGCGGTCGTACGGGCTGCGGGACCCGGCTACGTCCCCCTCAGAGGCGGGGCGAGTCGGGCTCCTGCCTTCCTGAGGTTGCTCCAGGGCTGCCGGGTTTCTAAACCCGGCATGGGCGCCGGCCCCGCTGCCCAGCCGGGCATTGGCACGCTGGTGAAGGCTGAGGCCGCCTGTTTTTAGAAAAAAATAAAAGGAGTTATGCTTTCTGAGCACTGACTATAGGTCAGAGGATCGTATCAGTGCATATAAACATATGGAGGGAGGGTGTGAAGAAGATGGAGTCAGGCTTTTTTCAGTGGTGCTGAGTGCCAGACGAGAGGCCACAGAATGAAGCAGAGGGTCCCTCTGAACATCGTGAACTAGCAGCTGTGGTATGAGGGTAACTGAGCACAGCCACAGGTTGTCCAGAAAGGCCCTGGAGTCTCAGTCCTTGGAATCACTCAGAAGTCACCTGGACATGGTCCTGGGTAACTGGCTCCAGGTGGCCCTGCTTGAGCTGTGGGGGTGGTCCGGATGACCTCCAGAGGTCCCTTCCAACCTCGGTCTTTCATGAGTCAGTGAAACTTTAGTGTATGATAAGTTGCCATTACCTTAAAGAAGAAAAATAACTTGCTATTTGTAACATCCGTTATAGCTAACACAGGACTGGTTGATACGTTTTAAATAAACAAAACTACTTTGCTAGCAGTTCTGACTTCACATTGATACAAGTTAAATGAGATTTGAACAGTAAAGAACAACTGAAGTTTTGTGGTGCAATTTCCATGCTGCTTCTGCATTATATTTTTTAAACTGTGATCCAGGGGCATTCCACAGACAACATGACAAATGCAGGAAAAATGCCAGTGAGACAGTTTGTTATTCATCCAGCAAATCCTGAAATCCTGTTTTCTGTCTTCCATTTTTGTGTCATGAATTATTATTTTGGAAAAAAAAAAAGCACAGATAATGCAATAAACAGTATTTGATGTTTCCCATTATCATAGGAAGTACTTGTAATTAAGCTTTTAAAACAATGTCACTGTTTTGTTTTTTTTTAGCAGGTATCCCTTGAACAGGTAAAAATGGTTTTAAAGAAGAAGAAGGAAATTCAGGCAGATGCATTCTTTCTTGATCATCGTCAGCTTGAAAAACTCCAGAGTAAGTACTTTGTTTCCTGAACTGATGTGCAGTTTCTGTTTCTGTTAGAAGAATCCATTTAAGTAGCTACTGAAATTGATCGAGCTTTTTTGTTTTCTCCTGTTTTTGTTTTGTGGGTTTGGAGTGTTTGTGTTTGGGTTTTTTTGTGGTTTATTTTGTAACGAAAATGACTTCTTACCTTGGTGGAATTAAAAGAATCCTTTAGAGCACTGTGTATTTGGTTTGAAATTTCTTTGCCTTGTTTTACCGTGAGTATGAAGGTGGTAGAAAGTCTTACTTGTAATCTCAATTGTGGGCCTTTAATTCAGTGCTGCCTGAAGTAGTAGCCTTAATATGTGAGATAACACTGAATTTCAAAAAATCACAGAATGGTTGAGGTTGGAAGGGTTCTCTGGAGATCATCTTGAGTGTATTTTTGCATTTTGTATTTTCTGTAGTTAATTTAAAGATTTAACTTAATTTAACTGTTCAAATGCCCTTTTATTTTGCAGTGGTTTTTTTGTTTGATGAAACTTCCTGTGATCTTTAATTAAAAAAAAAAACAAACCCAAAAATGAGTAATACAAGATTTGAATGGTAAATTTACTATGAGGTGCTCCTTGCCTTAGTTAGCATTGGTGAAGCCACAACTGAAATGTGGTGTCCAGTTCCACGCTGCCCAGTACAAGAGAGCCATGGGCTTACTGACTAGAATCCAGCAAAGGGCCACTAAGATGATGAGGGGCCCAGAGCATCCCTTGTATCAGGAAAGGCTGAGAGAGCTGAGACTCTTCAGCCTGGAGAAGGAAAGGCTCAGTGGCATCTTATCAACGTGTACCAATATCTAAAGGAAGGGTGTAAATAAGCACTAAGCTTTTTTACTTGTTGAACAGCAATGGGACAAGAGGCAATGGGCACAAACTGAAACTCAACGGGTTCCCGCTGAACATCAGGAAATGCTTTTTTTAATGTGAGGGTGACTGAGTGCTGGCACAGGTTTCCCAGGGAAGCTGAGGAGTCTCCATCCTCGGAGGTATTTGGAAGCCGTCTGAACATGATTCTGAGCAGACTACTCCCGATGACCCTACTGGAGCAGATTGGACCAGATGATCTCCCGAAGTCCTTTCCAACTTCAGCTGTGCTGTGGTTTTGTGAAGCTAGTCTTCATGCTAAAGATGAGGCCTGCTATTACATTGTAGTGAAGCTTGTGGGTTTTTTCATTCATTAGAAAAAAAATTGGTGTTGAGGTGTTGTAAGGTGACTTAAGGGATTTTGGCACCAGCAGGTTTACTGGAACAGGAAAAAAATAATTAAGCAGTGATTTCTTATTATAAGTTATGTTTAGTTTATGTTGTCTATTGTGCATAATTTCTAAAAAGAGACTCTTCTTCTCAATGTAGGGTTTTCAAAGGCTGAAGAGCAAAACTTGGCATCTCTGCTTCTGCACTGTGCACAGCTGAGCAATGGCATCCAGCAGATCCAGTGTATTAAACAAGTAAGACTTGGCTGTTGTTAATGTGGTTTTTGGTAACTGACATTGTGTTGTGTGCACTGTTAATGGAAAATACAATTCTAAAGTAAACCCTGTTATGTTTTAAACATTCCTAGAAACAGATAAAAAGCACTTGTTACTGCTGCATGTGCATTAGGTAGAAATGTAGTTCTAGTACTTAAATTAGCAAGGGCTAAAGTTACTGAAAGTGATGGAGGGCAAGTCATATCAAGTTTCCTATTTTGTATATATGTATTTTTGGTATCAGAAGCGTTCTTGGAACATTATTCAACACCTGAAACTAAACAGGATGTGGTAAAAAGAGGGCAGTTATGTGACATGTACTTGGATGAGAGGGAATTCTGCCTCTGTTAATGATGAGGGTATATCCAGAGTTTTTGTTGATCGTGTGTTCTGCTGATTATAGATTATGCCATTGGTGAAGAAGATGGATCAAAACTCTGCATGTGATCCCATGGTTAAAGCTTGTTTGGATATTTTGGGAGAGACTTATTTTTCACTGGGTGCAAAGAATCCCTTAAAAAAAGTGTTAGCAAGGTAAGAAATTGAATAGTAAGCCTTTGTTGTTGTTTTTTTTTTAAATGCTTTCCTTATCTAGAAGTCAGTGATTTGTTGTGCACTACAAATTGCTGTAGTTTAATTACTGAAAATTTGTGAATATGTACTGTTTTTCTTTCTTGCTTAGTTAAAAATCTTAATTATAAATGATACAATATATCATTGGATAAATAACTTCAAAGTGAAGTATTATTTTGATGTGTTTCATTACTGGAAAGACAACACAGCGTGTAATTAGTGCTTTGAATTTTTAAAATTCAGTATTAGAATAGAAATTTAAAATACTTGTGTTAAAATCTCAGCTGACAGTATCAAAAGAAGGCTGTTCAGAGGAATTCTAACTAACCTGTAGTTTCTTGTGCCTAATTTTATTGCAATTAAATTTTTCTCTTGCAAGATTACTGTTATATTTCTTTACTGAATTTATTACAGCCTTAACATTTTTAAGATCCAGTGCTTCATTTCTATGTCCGAAAACATTTGTTGTCCTACTGACAGATGCAAAGCTTCCATCCTGTACTTGGTTGCATGCCAGAGCTTTACACCCCTTTGACAGGTTTTCTAGCTGCAAAATCAGAAGGTGCATGTTTATTTTAAAACAGAATATGTTGTCATTCAGAAGGAAGCAACATCCATCTGTTATTGGAGTTTTAGCTGACTCTGACTTTAGTCAAGTGGACGTTTAACACCTCAGTGTGAGCTAACTGATTGTGCTGTTTCTTACTGTTTCAGTTCACTGAATGGTCTTCCTGAGCAGTTTATGGCATTAGCTGTACAAAGCTTTGTGCGCTGCCTTAGGGAAGAACTGAAAACCACGGACATATATTTGTACAGAAAAGTACTGGACAACCTTGCTTCCTGTATGGAGGACTTCAGCTTAGGTACAATGCCATTGAAGATACTGTTTTCTGTTTTAATTTGGTCAACATTGGTTTGCATCTTGATGCAGCACCTAATAGCAATGTTCATATCTTTATCTACGTAAAATAGATAGTATTGGCTAGTACTCACCAGTTAAAATGTATTTTCTTTCCTTTAGGTAGAGCAAGTATTAAGAACCTGTTTGAAGAAGGTAAAGTTATATTTAAAATAAGTTAAACTGTAAATTACTGGAGGGAGGGGGTTGTGTGTGAACACATGAGATATAAAAAAGGTGGATAAAGGTTTATCAGATCTGATTTTGGTTACATTTTGGCTACATTTTAATAACTAGTACCCACATGGTACCTTTTGGTCAGATTTCCCCTTGATGTATACCTTTAATTTCCAGGGGTCAGTCTTGCTTTATTGAGCAGCTCTAGATATAGATGTGAAAAGGTACCAGTGAGTGATTCTTAAAGGGCTGAGGGAATTGATGTTACTTTATGTGAAGTATTCTCTGTCCTGCGCCTCATGATGAAGTTGGATGTGGTCACACTGAGCTGTGAACAGCCAGTTGTGACTATAGCAAGCCCAGGCCTGCTGTGGCAAGAATTTTGTTTGGCGATAATTTGGCAGAAGTCTGATCTGCTGGTAACTTAAGATAACTTGACATACTGTGCCCTCAGCTTGCAGACGAAGTTCACAGCTTTCTGAGGATGTCTTATTGCTGCTCTGTCTTCAGCTCTTTTCATTGAGGAACAGGAACTCTCATTACCTCACAGGATTAGGCCAAGTGGGTTGGAAAAGCATTTTGTGCCACGTTGTCCCAAATGAGATTGAGTTTTTGCTTTAGCATGTCATCTTTGGATCTGCACTGCAATTTCAGCTTGTTTATTGAATGAAAGAAACACCACTATATGGATAACTGTTCATTGTGTCTGGGTATGATGTGTATGCGCAATTGCTTTGCTGGAATTTTTCCATTCTGTTTTTCTTTTAAATAAATTCGTATCATACTTATTTTCACTAGTTCTTCAGTTTCTGCAGAAGTCGCTACTTGACATACAGGAAGAAAACAGGCAAGTGAATTCAGTATAAGCTGTATTTTATCTGGTTTTATTTCATTCTTAAAAGATAATCTGGTATGGTTTAGAATATCACCTTGATAGCAGTACATAGATGAAAGATGGGAGTGTTGTTTTACAGTGATACGTATTTTAAATAAAAAATAGCTGCTGATGAGCTTCTTTTCTTTTGTGGCAATACGATGGTATAAAATAAGAGGAAAGGAAGGACATTAAAGGTGGTGATGTTTAAGGCACTGATAGTGTGTTAGAGCTACTACTTTTAATGAAGGCCTTTGAGTTATGGTTTTGCTACCTGAATTGTGACTGAACACTGTAATAGATATGCTCATTAAAATTCAGCTAGAGTAACACTCTTCCACTTTCTATGAGTGTTTAATTCAGTACTGATATCATACTCAAAGCATTCTATAATCCTCTGTTTAGTCTGTCACCGCAGTCATGATATAATAGTTTGACATTTTCCAACATTGCCTGAAGTGAAGCCTCTTCACTGGCTCTTTACATGTTGTCTGTCTTCACGCTGGAAGAGAGTTGAATTGTAAATATGCTTTGCACATGGAGGAACTGCTTGAAAAATGAGAAAGGACCAGCACTCTGTTCTGTTGGTCTTTTTGGAAAGTTTTTGGAAAAGTTCAGCTCTACTCAGACAGAATCAGATGAGTGAAAGTTTGTCACGGGAACCTGTCGTTATGTTTGTTTACTTCGTTTTGAAACACTACTCTTGAGTCTGCTGCTTGTCTTCCTATAGTTATGTATCTGGTCAACTCAAATTAGTTTTTACCATTAATTCTGTCTGAAGTTGACAGAATGTAGTTTTCTGGGAATGGAGAAGAATGATTTTAATTTCCTTTTTGTATGCATGTCTGGTTTTATCTCCCCCCTTCTAGAAAGAATCATGGAAATCGTATTGTTCAGACTCAGTTGATGCATGATTTGCTGATAGCCATTAGGGTTTCAATGATGCTTCTACAGAAATTACAAGAAAATATCCAGGGAAGTCTTTGGAAACACCATGAGTCTTCTGTTTGGCAAAGTATGTGTGGTTTACTGAAAAGCTGCACAAGCTTCCTAATGGATGGTAAGTTTAGTAACCTTCAAACCCCAATATTTTTATTAAGCCAATCTTCTTGTCTTTGTGGTAAACACAACTTGGAAATGAACTGCTGAGATTAATGAGAGTGGGAGCAGTAGTAGGTCTTTCAGCAAGCTGTGATTTGTAGGTCATAATTTTGGAGTATACAGTTTTAACTTGTCCTATTACAAAAACCCAAGGTAAATGCTATTAGTAATAATTTAGAAACTAACAGAAATACTTTTGAGACTCACTGAATGTCTGTGTCTATCAAAAATTAATGTATCTGTATGAACTGTGCTGTCAAAACTATTTTTTGGTGTACTATAATTGTGTTTACCTCTTATACAGTTATTTTTGTACAGTAGAATTCAATATATATGTCTGTAGGCTCTGCCACAGTCCTCCTTTTCTTACTGGGCAGTTCTGTATTTTCTATCTGTTAAAAGGTATTAATAGTTTCCTATTACATTAGAGTATAAATTCGTTAATACTTGCTGTCTGGGTGGACGCTACAGATTTGTGATTATACAAGTACAAGTAATCTAGGAAGGTTCAATACTATCTGTATAATTTTGATACATAATTCTAGCACACAGTGTTTGCTGCACTCTAATGTAAAATATTTTTCTCTGCCATGTAGAAACTCTCCTGCAAACTGTTCAGACTACCTCGGGACTCGCTGTTATTCTGTTTACTAAAGCTATGTATGAGCCGGTTGAAGACCTACCTTCCTTGGTAAGTGTATTTCTTTGCTGAAGACTGTGAAATGTCAGTGTTACTTTTCAGTGTTACCAGTATGGTTCAGAGGCTTTGCTGATACAGATAGCAGGACCTGTCAACCTCTGTATCAGTCTTTTGCTGAAGTGTAAATCCCTTATTCTCTCCTTGCAGAGGAAATAAGACAACTAGGTTTTTGAATTTGGGAAAAACAATGTGCAAGATACCTCTTCAGATTGTCTGAGATTTGCAGATATGCACAGAAAGGCTTTTCTCCTGTGCTGAGATGCTGTAAGAGGTATTGTTTTGCTGTTACAGGTCAGTGCCTTGCTTCTTGGGTCGACAAAACATGCAGGAGTGCCAGCGTGGTTTGTGAGTAACAGCGGGATGCTGTGTGCGGAGGAACTCCCTCGCTCGGTCCTTCTCTTTCTTTGCCATGGAGCACTGGCTATGCTGGAATGGAAGAATGGCAGCATGGGTGAAAATGGAGAAAAACTACTGTTAGATATCCTATCAGTCTTGTTGGCTTTGAGTTCAGAGTAAGCCTGTGTTTGGATTTGTATTATTTGGGGGGAGGGGGTTTGCTCTTTTTATTTGTATTTTTGCATGGCTTATATGGTTCTGATGAAATATATCTTTGATGTTTTCGGTGTAATTAGCTTCTGCCACAGATCATGTCATCTTTTTTAATATATTCGGAACAACTCTGTAAGTTTGAAAAATATGTCTTCATATTGCATAGACGGTTCTAACTTAGAGTTTCCCAGGCTAAAATGAAATTCTGCTTTTCCAGCATAAGTGAGATTCGTTTACCAATTACTTCATGTTAAGGTATGGCAGAATTGGTTGTTATGTTAGATAGATAAACTTTAGTTTCAGAATGTCACCTCTTATGCTATTAAAAGTACAGAAGAAAACAAAGTGTGCCAATGAGCAGAATACTTGAAAGTAATGTGAGTTTTAATTTTTTTTTTCTGGTTGCAAGCATTAGCCACTTGCACCTAATGGACTGCCAGCGCTATTGGATAGGAGATTAAAACGTGTGTTCGGTTCAACCTTTGTTCCTGCCTTTGGAGGCCATTAGGGTTTTTACTCAGCTTTTATGTGGCAATGAGAAGTTTTCTGTATATTTTCACGAGACATGCAGTAACATCATGCTGCTCAAATACTAGCTTGTGGATATTATATTTTTATTTGTTTTTAAAATAGAAAGTGTAGTGGCTTGTCTGTATTTTTCCCCCCCATATGTAGGGGTATTAGCTGTGACCAGGTAACAGCACGTGAAGTGACTGTGCACACACTTTGCAACATCCAATTCATCACCCCATTTTTGCATTAGTTCCTTTTCTTCAATGAATGGTTTGTGTCTCCTTACCTGTTGTAGTGTGAGGTAAACTAATGTGATGAATAATTATTTTTTAAAAAATACTTTTCTGAAAGTATTGACAAATGCTAATAATTAACTTAATTTGTTTATTCTTTTTAAAAGGTTAAAAGAGTCCTGTACAGCAACATCTTTGTCTAGAATCCTTGCTATTTGGACTAGTTCAGCACTAGCTGCCCTTGGTTCAGGCTCCTCAGATCTAAAAGTGAAGCTTAATGGGAACTCGGGGATAATTGGGAAGCTGCTGGAATACATTTATACCCACTGGGAACACCCTCTGGATGCAGTTAGACACCAAACCAAGTTGATATTCAAAAATCTTCTTCGGATACACCGAACCACCATTACTGGATCCAGTGAAAAGTCAGACCCGTTCTTTGCGCAGCTGATAAAGCATTTACTAAGCTTGGAATGGCATGTGAAAGGGAAATATGCTTCTCTCGGCTGTCTCGTGGAGTGTGTGGGCACTGAAAGTATCCTGCAGTTGGACAGAACAATTCCAGCACAGATCTTGGATGTGATGAATGATCAGTCTCTTGCACCCTATGCTAGTGATCTTTTGGAAACTATGTTTACAAATCACAAAGCCCATTTTAATTCAGGTTTTCAAGAAAGCACCTGGATTGACCAGTGGCATGATGTCTGGGTTTCTCCTCTCCTTGAGTTACTGTGTGAAGGGGATCATGACCAAACTACTTACATAATAGATTACTACTTACCAAAATTGCTCAAATACAGCCCTGACAGTCTGAGCTACATGATTAGAATTCTTCAGGCTTCTGCAGACGCTAATCTTGGTAAGAAAATAAATACCATATTTGTAATTATGTTTGTTTTTTAAAAAAACAGTCTCAGAAATGTGGTTTCTGATCTATTATTGCTGTTAGAATTAATTTGGGAGAAAAATTCCACATGGTTATTATTGCTGTTAGTGTTTCAAGGTGGAATTCGTAATAATCGTAAGTGTGTCTTCATGCCATGAGGAAAACAATTAGTAGTCTACCTGCAGGTGCCTTATTATTCTCTTTACATGCCAAGCTTTGTTACATATCAATTTTTTTTCTAATATTTTTCCTGGTCTGGTATTATTTCTTACATAGGCATGTCCATTACAGTTCTTAATGGATAGGTTTTTGTGGCAAATAATGTGGATGCAAGATTTGTTATTTTCTTGTAGTTTTTGACATAATTAAGTGTAAACTAAAATAATGACTTGTGAGATATCACAGAATGCTTTTTCCATTTGATATGTTGAAGAAGCAGCTTTTTGGGAATCAGGAAATTTAGAACTCGTTGGATCTATGACGGGCTGTTTGGGGTTTATGGGATAGAAAATAAAAGAGGGGCCTCGGGGTCATGTGTTGTAAGTATGGGCAGTTTCTGACAAGCATTGCAATTAGTACATTGTTTACTGTGTTAATCAAACTGTAATTATTACTGTTTTTCTTTAGGCTCTTGCCATACTAGAGGAGCTCTTGGAGCACTGATGGCATGCCTGAGAACAGCCAGGGCTCATGGACAGCTGGAACTTTCAAGTATTGTGAGCAATGGTCTTGTATCCACTGAATGTATAAAACAAGGTCTAGTTCATCAGCACAATCAGGTAGAGGGACATTTTGTTGTGTCTTTAAGTTAGAATAATTGCTTTGATCTTTAATATTGTGCTATCATTGTTTTAAAATAAAGGTATCATCACAAGCGTCTGTAACTTTTTTGTGGCTAACATCTAAGTATCTTTCAGGTTTGCATTGATGCTTTAGGTTTGCTTTGTGAAACCCATCGTAGCACGGAAATTGTGTCTGTGGAAGAAATGCAACTAATCCAGTTATTTATTATGTACAACTTGAACAACCAGTCTCCTTCAGTAAGGCAGCAGATATGTTCTTTACTGAGAAAGGTAATTTAAAGCTATAAACAATGTCTAATGTGCTTATTGTGTTAGTTATATAGCTTTTAAAAAATAATTAGGAGTAGACAATGAAGTTGTTCATCTGAAAGAGTAGAAGCTTTAAGACCAGGACTGTGTTGTTTGTATTACACAACTGAATGATAAGGCATCGCAGGCAAGGATGGCTTAAAAAAAATGAAGTGAGAGACACGGTAACTTCATCATGAATGGTAGCGAGCGCTGCTTAACCTGTCAGTGTATGTGTGTTTTACCAATAGCAGAGCAATGTACCGTAGAGCAAGCAATGAACCTTTTATTGCCTTTGTTGTGGTCTAAGAGTGTGCTTGAGTGGACTTCTCAGACCTCAGGCAAATTCACAGTCACTTGATCAGCCCCAGCATCCTGACTTGGAAGACAAGGTAGAGAATATTATGGAAACATCAGAACATGTGGCTCTACTGTTACAGTCTGCAGGGACTGAGTGTGTCAGCACTGTGGAAGTTGCCACGGTCTACCATGGGAGATTATGGTAGAAGAATATGAATAAAATGAGGAAACCATGTATGTATAAAGAATGTTTTGGAAGATGTTAGTGAGAAAAGAGCAGTGTGGAAGCAGCGAATAATTAATTTATGATGGGGGAAATATGAGGCAGTAGGTTTGGCAGGAACAAAAGAGCAGAATTCCATCTCTTTCCATTCTTGCCTGGTGCAGACTGAGGAATATGAGATGGAAAAATTGTGTTAGAGGGAGTATAATAAAAAAGGAAATAATACTAGTGGGTAGTAAAAAGAGCTGTGAGAAGCACTCCTGAGGTGAGTCAAACTCTGTAAAAGACACTGAAGCTATAAAAATTATATGCATTAATTTATTTTTTTTTAATAGAGGATCAAATGTTCCACAGAAAATGGGGAAGTGGGAGGAGAAGACTAGGCACTAATTTAAGGAGGAAGATGGAAGAAGTTGTTGGAGGTGCAGAAGGAGGGAAAAAAAGTTGGTCATAAGAGAAATAGGGAGCAAAAAACCTGGTTTTGGAGTGGAGAGAAGGATCTGTTCTGTGTTACAGTGCATGCAGACTTGAAAATTACAAGCAACATGATCTGGAAATTAAGCTGAAAATCCCTTATTTATCTTTGAATCATTCTTGCCTTAACTGTGTTTTGCTTTTGTTTTAATAGTTATTTTGTAGGATACAAGAAAGTTCCCAGGCGCTTTATAAATTGGAGCAGCATAAAACCAAGCAAGAGTTACTTGAAAACTCAACTCAAAGGCATCCTTTGGTGATTTTGCAGCAATATAAAGTAAGTTAGACTGCTAAAGATACCGATGGTAAGAGGTGGGATAGCACTTCTGAAAGAGAGTTGATTTTTCTTGAGGACACCTCCAAGTTAGGCTGTGTCTGCATTAGGAAATAGTGCAGTGCAGAAGGAAGAAATCTGTAAAGCAAAATGGTGCTGAGGACCTTGTCCACTCTGTATGCACTTGTGCAAGTTAATTTTGACTAAATGTACTGTTGCCTCATGAACTGAGTGCTCATTAGTATTTAGAAGGTATCTTAAGCTCAATTTTGTCTGAAATCATTCAAGGTAATTTTCTGAGGGATTGCTCCATGATGTGAACTGAAACAGCGATAAGTGGGGAACAACTGAAGATGTACTCCCAATCCAAACTAAAATTTTCAAGTAAATCTCCTGTCAGCTGCTGGCAAGTTTTAAAAGATATGTGTTAGTTGAGCTAAGATCCCTTGAGCTTCAGCCTTTTTCTAGCTCTCCAGAATGATCAGTGAGAGAATGAATGACAGAGCGTCAACACAAGGGCTTCTGTATGGAGACTTGTTTGTATTAGTCCTTTTTCCTATTTGAAGGCTCACGTAATCAGTTTCTTTGTGTTAAACTGTTTTTTATCTCAAGTTCTGCTTTTCTTTTTCAACTGCTCTTCAAGATTTTTATACAATGGCTGCTTTTTCTGGGAATGGGGAAGGGAAATTGGTTTTTATTAAAAAAACTAACCCCCCCCCCAAAAAAAGAAACAACCAACCAAACCAAAACACAACAAAACTTAAAACAATTGTCCAGCCTTCACTGTACTCTAGGAAACAAGAAATTTGTCAGTACTTTAAAGGTAGGACTCCCAGTCCTCCAGAATTAACTGCGAGGTTGTAATTTTTTGAGTAACATGTAAAGCAGAATGTCCTCAATTCAGTTACGTAGACTTTTGTTTGTAGGGCAGTGAGCAGACTGTCTTAAAAATCTTTTTTGTGACTGACTTCCAGGATTTCATGTCATCTGTATGTGACAGACTTTTTGGGGCACTGTTTCCTGGTTCATCGCATCCAACCAGGTTTTCTGCACTAAGTATTTTAGGATCAATAGCAGAAATATTTTCTGTTCCAAAAGGTAAGAAGTCTAACTTACAGGCTGTAGGAGTGGGAGGTCTTGAAGAAGATTCTCTTATGCCAGCTAGTTAAATCTGTCAAAATAAAATGGTATTCTTAGTCCTTAATTTCTATGGCATTTCCTGTGTTGCTTTCATTTTATGTGAGGAAGGATAAGAAGTTTTATTGAAAAATAGAATGTTGAAGTAAATACAAATATTTATGGCTTGCTGAATATCTTCCATAAATTGGGATTTCTTGCAGAGCCTGTTTTTTAGCAACATTTTTCAATGTGTTTTTGTTATTATGAAGAAAACTTTTGGACAAGATTCAATATATTTTATAACTTTTCCCTTTTTTCTGTTCTAACATATTGATAATACATAAAATGTTAAGGCAATAAACCCCTTGATTGAGAAGGCTTCTGTATCATCATGATATCACTGTGCTAAATAAGGGACACTTTAATTGGACAGTTTATGATGTTGTGTTGCTGTTTATTTTAAATTTTCTTCACAATGTATTAACAACCCCCATTCAAGAAGTATTAGAGCCTTGGAGCATTGATTGTCTTGCTAAATTCTGTGTCTGGATCATATGACCAACATAAAAATATGTTTTCAGTCTTAAAAATTTTTTAAAAATTTTAAAAAATTAAAAAATTTTTAAAAATTTTATTCAAGAAGCGAGACTCTTAAGACAGAAGTTGGTTTTAAGAGGAGGAAAACATACCTTCTTGGTAAACCTTTTCTCAAAACCTCTGATAAATCATGAACACATTAACTTCATTATGACAAGTTTGTGGTGTGTTGATGCTTCTTTTATTTATTGATTGATTTATTTATAATAGAAAGTTGTATTGGGAGTTACTAATAGCAGCTTGAGGATGTCAGAATCCCGACATTACTTTGATAAAGCAGTTTGAGCTGCTGTTGTGTTCTGTGCTGGAATGTGCTGCACTTGTTCATATCTTAAAATTTCCATCTGCTTTACAGCGTTAGGTCAGTCACCAGAAATCACCACTTGTTTAAATTAAAAGTGAAAAATTGTAGTGGCTTCCATTTTAGGGGGTTATGACAAAATAAATCCCAAACCAACCACCCAAAACACACTGAAGTTCTGGAAGTAATTTTTTTGGTAATATTACATACTTCCAGGAAAGGAATTTTTAATCTAAGCTAAAATAATGCTTTTATTTTCAATGCTAAATTTAATGTGAATAAATGGGATTCTGGTTTTGGCAGTAAGTTACTTTCTATATTAGTGAGTAATTTTTTGGATATGGTGACCTTTTTTATTCAAGAGTAAACATAGCATTTTAAGACCTATTAAGAGAAGTAAGTAATAGTAAAATAATGCTTTAGCTAAAATTTATTTCAGTGCTTCTGTTAGTATAGCAAAGCAAAATGTGAATGCAGTGCTTATTCTGGAAAGAATTACAGCAAAACTATGTGAGGCATTGATTTCTTGGAACAGGCCAGGCACAAGTTTTTCAGTTGGAGCAGGAGATTGATTCCACTCGTGTGCAAACTTTGATCCAGTGTTTTGCCAGTACCTTTGAAGAAGTAAAAGTTCTAGCATTTGAGCTTTTGATGAAACTAAATGATGCTGCATTTAAGTTACAGGTATGTAACTAGAAATAGTTGAAAAACAATTATTTCCTGGAAGAGGAGTGTTCTGTATTAAACCAGGTACTTGGATTACATATAGAGCATAATTGCTGAAAATTAGAAGTCAGTCCTTGTTGACTGCAGTAGTGTTCATCCCTAGCGTCTTCTGTATAGATTTACACATCTGCCCTTAGCTAAGGAAGCGTATTTCACCAGCGTATGAAGGATTTTGGGAAGTTCATTGACTATGACTGTGAACAAAGAAATAGTTAATGCAAGCTCCTTGCTTAGCTGCAACTTCCCTTCGTAAATAATCGAGGCATTTTGACATGGTTACTCCTGTATTTTAAGAAATTAAGCTATGTGTTTCTTTTCCTCTAATTGGTCTCAGATTTCATTTTCTCATTGTCTCTTTTTTTTCTCCCAGATTTTACCCTTTGCCTTGATACTGATTCTTCTGTTTGTTATTTCACAAAAAGTTACTTCTAAATTCAAAATTACCACTGAACAAACACTGTTTCCTAATAAACCATGCTTCCTTGTGATGTCCATTAGCAGATAAAACACAGTATTTTGGAAACAAAACCATCCTTTTGTGAAGTGCGGTGTGTTTGAATACCACTTTATAGATTACTGTGACAGAATGCATGTGTATGTAAGATGATCACTTTACAGAATAAGTCTTTCTTAAGAAATACATACAGCAGACTTACTGAAAAGCAGGTTCTTAGATTTTGGGGTGCTAAGCAGCTTAATTAAATCAATATGGGAGCTCAATAAGATGAGCAGTATTTTTTTTTTCAGGATTCTGCATATCTAGAGCTCTTATTCAAAGCAGCAATGGATCTTAGCACAAGTACCAAGCCATATGATTGTGTCACTGCTTCGTATTTGTTCAACTTTTTAGTACATCATAAAAGACTACAGCGTATTTGTTTAGGAAAATATGGTAAGCATAAGCCTCAGCTGGATGAAAACGTATCAGTAAGTACAGTGGAGAACAACACTTTAGCAGGTAAGCTTTTAGGGAGATTATCCTCCCTTTTTTTAAAAAAAATGTTTATTTGAATCATGGAATGGTTTGTGTTGGAAGGAACCTTAAAGACCATCTAGTTCCCAACCCTGCTGCCATGGACAGAGACACCTTCTGTTAGACCAGGTTGCTTAAAGCCCCATGCAACCTGGCCTTGAACACTTCCATGAAGGGGGCATCCATAACTTCTCTAGGCAACCTGTGCCAGTGCCTCACTGCACTCACAGTAATCTTACTGAAGTTTTACTGCTTTTCCTTAAGGCTTTTGATAGGAAGCATAATGAGGAAGGGATTCTTATTTCTAATAGGATTTAAAATAAATTTTGTTTTGCTATTAAGAAGCCAGGTGCCTTAGAAAAATCTTCATCTAGTCCTGTTCATGTTGAGGCTATTGCGTGTTCTCAAAAGGTGGCTTTTGTTTATTATTTTGATCAGAGGGAAAGTGACTTTGAAGCCCTGGTAGGTAGTCTGATGAAGCTGTGCTCAAAATGTTCAGGAAAGGAACCTCTGCCTCTTCTGAAGAGCTTGCTCACCCACAGCAAAGGCAGCTGTGGTTGGTCTGTGTCATATTCCAGTACCAGATGCGGTGCTGATCTTTGGAGCTGTGTTCACTTGAAACCATTTTTATGAGTGGTTTGCAGTCTTGCGTGCTGCAGTAATTAGACTTTTTTCATATGTGAGATACTTTTCTTTGGTTTAATGTCTCTGGATTAAACTTGAGAGACTCTAGACCTAGCAGATTTGGCAAATTTGTTAAATGGTCTTCCTTCACCTTTTGTAATTTGCAGTAAACAAAAAAAAATAATATTTGTAATAAAGCATTGGATGTAATTTATGGTAAACTCAATATTGTATACTTTTTTGTGCTGTTACTTGCTTCTCTCTGTATGCCTATTAATACTTTCTTCATGTGGAGTGAAATCATAATTTTGAGTCGTGGTTGTGGTTGCCATGAAGGAAGCAAATGCATGGGTAACCTCATGTCTCATTGTTACGGAGTACCTCCTGCTGTTGGTGGTCTGTAGTTCATCATTAGGCTCTGTAATTCTTTCTGATTCTGAGATGTTGCAAGGTATAAATATAAATAAAACTGGCACATCTGTCCTTGAAAATTGGACAGCTTCTTTAGTGGCTGATTAAAGATTCAAATATTTAACCATAAGCTTCTGATTTTAATATTCTACTGTACTATTTGTTTTATTAACCTGGACTCTAAGGGTGAAGTCTCACTTTCAGTATGTGGTAGGTTACTTCAGTTGACTTCATCATGAATTGTGAGATTGTCCCCGAGTACAGATCTGGGTTGTGCTTTTCACAGCTGCCATTTGATTCAGATAGAGAGACTAACTTGCCTATAACAAATGTTGTTGAAAATCAACAGTAACTTTTATTTAAACAACAAAAGAGTGAAAAGTGTAAACAAGGAAATGGCTGTGTGCTTGCCATTGAATTCTTGTATAAACAGGCTTTATTCCAGTTTCTTTAAAGTAGATTTGTTTCTTAAAAATGTATGTGTGTGTGATGCAAATCTGTATTTTTAAAATTTTAGTTATCAAGATTTTGTTGGTGAATGTTGAAGAAGAAATATTTCAAGCTAAGAAGTCTCTGCTTCAAGCAGCAGCATCATTCCCAATGTATGGGAGAGTGCATTGTATAACTGGGGCTTTACGGCAATTACCTTTTAAGTAAGTAAAACATAAGGCTCAATAGTAAGTCAAAACTCCAGGTTTCAGCAGAGTGGAAGAACTGCTCAGGAGAACATAAAAGCATATGTTGTTACTTGTAATGAAATCCAGTAGCTGTGGCTTTTAGAGCTCTTCCTGCTGCACTGTTTAGGTAGCTGTTACTTATTTCCTTTGTAAGTGTTAAACTCAGTCTTAGGACTTTTCAAAATACATGCTATTTATAGTTTTCATAAATACAGAAAGTTGCAGAAGTGTTTGTAATTTCAGTTCTTTCTTTTAAACATAAAATGGTTTTTAATCCATGTTGTTTGTTTTTTAAGAAACTTGACATTGGTAGCTGAATGGAAGGAAATGGTGGCCAGGCTCATTCTGATGTCATACGAGCTGTCTGCTGTAGTATCACCAGTGTTGCAGAGCTCATCGCCAGAGGGTCTTATTCCAATGGATAGTGATTCAGGTAAACAAACAAATGCCTAAAAGAATTCTGCTAAAATTGGGAGCTCCTGAAGTTCTGTTTGTCTCACAGAGATTCAGAACTAAAGCTCAATTTAAACTTCTCGTTTTGTCATAATCTTAATACACTCTCTTAACTTCTGAAAGTTTGTCTTGACTTCTGCACTAAAAAAAATAACCCAAACATTTGCAGATTGTGTTGTTGCATCTGTTTAAAAACAGATGACTGTAAACTCCATTTTTTTTCTTCCTTAATCTTTGTAATCACCATAGTTTTGTATTTGTTTTTTACTGTTAATAGCTTTCTTTTGTACTTACATACTCAAAATGCATTTGTATAAAGAACTGGACGTAAAATACAAAGTAATCTTAAATATTCCTCTTGTTTGATGTGTAGAAAGTGCAGGTCGCCTGCAGATGATTTTGCATGAGATACAACCACAGGACACGAATGATTATTTTATGCAAGCAAAAATTTTGAAAGAACACTGCAAAGTAGAGTCTGAAAAGCTGGCTGACCACAGGCCAATGGAAAATACTTGTTCAGACGTGAGAGGTAAATCCAATGCTGTATTAGTAATTAAATCATGATATTCTTTATAGACCAAGCATTTACCGTGGGTGATCAAAATTGGAAGTTATTTGCTCTGTATAATGTTTCGCTTCTTCAATAAATCTGTCAGAAGCTTGTTATTCATGGGCATGGTTTTAAAGACTAATTCACTGTGTTTCTGGAAGATTGTCGTTAATCTCTCTTACAGCACAAGTGAAAATGAGTTGTTTTGATATTGGCCTAGACTCTGTTGCCTTAACTGCACTGGCCAGGTGATCTTTAACACCTTTTCTGTCAAGCAACACTTTTAATGTGTTTCTTGTTGAAAGGTCTTAGTGTGATTTCCCTCTCCAGCGTACACAAAAATAGTGGGGAATATGTTTGTGCAGTAAAACTTATTTAATGAAATTACGTAGGCAGAAGCTTCCGTTTGAAAGATTCCAGTGGTAAAATGTGAGATATTCCTTGTCTACTTTTATGAATAGGAGCTACGAAATTGAGCATTACAGTGATAAAGGAATTGTAAACTTTGACATATTTAGTGTATACCAGCATAAATTGGTAGAATATCTGTACATTTTTAAGTTTAATAGTTTACGCAAGCTTTTTAAGTGTTAAATATTTGAACTTTCTTTCTATGATTATAGGAAGTTTATGTTTTTTCCTATGTTTAAAATAGTTTTGCTTGGGCCATATGGTTTGTGTCATGAAGTCTGTAAATGTGTTGAAGTGGCAAAATGGCCACCAGATGGGGATGTTGTGTCAGAAACGTGATGCCTTTGCCAGGCATCTTCCTAGGGCGCACCTGGGCTACAAACCAAGTAACATGCAGTGAGTGATGGATTGATGATTGACGTGGAGTTTGTTGCAGCCTGACTCCAAAGTTGTAGGTGTTTGTATGTTTCAGTGTGCATGTGAATACGAATTGTGACCAAAAGACCTCTACTCTTTAAAATAGCAGTTTCCTGGTGAAATGGTGTGCTGCTGCCTTTTCCAAGCAGAATAAAGTACAGTGAGTGTTCAGGAGTGGAAGCAGTTATGGTCAGCAGAGCTGAATTACCATTTGGGTTAACAAGTTTAGATTTTTTTTTTCGTAATTGTGTTTTGTAGACAGTCAAGCTAAATGAAATTTAAATTACAAGTCTGTGTCTGAAAACCTTGAGTTTCACTATTATATTTGTTGATGTTTATTTTCAAGGTAAAGACAGACAAACGTGTGACGTCACAGCCCAAATGGTTCTTGTGTGTTGCTGGAGAAGCATGAAGGAGGTATCTCTGCTCTTAGGGACACTGTGTAAACTTTTGCCTTCACAGGCTGCATCTGAACCTTCAGATGGGCTGGTTACTGTAGAACAGGTAGGGAATTTTATTATGTAAAATTTTATTTTATTATTATAAAGCCTTCACTTTCTGGAGGGGAGGGAAGGCAGTTTTCAGAAAATTTCCTTCTTAAATCTGTGCTCATTAAGGCATAATGTTTTTATGTTGTTATTTTTTTATTGCCATGTTCTTCTCATGGTTTTCTTGTTTTCTTTTACTTGGTTGACAGTCTACTTTTTGGTGAAGTGGTATTCAGAAGGTGTAACTGTAATAGTAATAGATAAGTGAAGAAATTATTGTACATAGCTAACAAACTCAAGGAATATTCATTCTAATTGTATTGGGTTATTTGTAAGAGGTATGCGGTGTTCAGGGGTACCAATGTGCCCCTCTCTATGTATATATGTATTGGTATATATTGGGCATTAATAGATTTGCTAAAAGACATCTAAACTGGCTTCTATTCAAAGTGTCTTGTTTCATTTTGAACCCTAGGTGTTGGGTTTTTGCTTAAAGCTCTTCATTAATTGAACTTCATAATCAATAATTCTGAAAGTCAAACATGCTGACTAGTTGTAGTCTTGTCCAACATAAGAGACTGAATTATGAATAATTTGTGTGTAATGTGACTGTCTTATTCCTCCAGTTTTTTTGATTTAAGAGATCAGAAATGTTCATATGCCATCTGGGTCTCCTGTAGAATGTTGAGTGCAGTGTTTACAAGAAATTAGATTACCACAGGCATTTATTTGGGAAATATTTTATGTTTATTAAATTTCTGCTTTTAATTGATGACCTTTTCATTTCCATATGGTTTCAACAAAACCAGTCTCTGCATGGAGGATTGAAATATGCAAGGCACACTACTTTTTAACCTCTTTTCCTTTCCAACAGAAAATATTTAATTTTTCCTTAGGTGTTAGAGCCTTCTACCATAAAATAAGTAATTGTGTAATGTACTGCATGTCCTGTTTCTTATGTTATCTAATGTTGTGGTGCCACGGATATAGTATTAGTATCTTTATTGTCTCTAGCCTTCATGTTTTTATCTGGATAACAGCTGTGCTTGCATTGTTGCAGAGGTCTGGAGGGTAGATGAGAGAACAGATCTGCGTTTCCACCATTATGTTCCTTAATCTACTCCAAGTCAAAACAGAGTTATTTTAGAGTGAGACAGCTCTAACCATAGCATCTCTATCTTTATTTAGAAAGCACACATTAGTAGCTACCCTTTTAGAAATGCTATGTTGTTAAGCTACGTACCTTCTTTTCCTACAGATGCCTCATTAGGGTCTTTATGCTTCTGATGTCTTGTGTAAAACAGAATGTCTGTGTTCTAATTTGAAGAATGCTAATTCATGAGAAGCCAATTTGAGATTCTGATTTTCCTCAGGCTTGTAAGGAAACAGTTTATTGGCTGAATGTATAACAAATATGTCTCCCCAGTTCTTTATGTAATCAGTTGATCTTTGGAGTTCGCTATGGCTGGCAGTAGTTCACTGGCTACTGCTTGTTTCTAACTGTGAGATGCTTTTGCAGTCCATTAGGGGTTTGGAGCCATCCTCTCCTAATGGTTTGAAAAAAACACCCTCTAGAATGTAGGACCCTACTTTAGTGGCATCTTATTGTCGGGAAAATATGATATGGGGGCACAAATATAACAACTGTTTCTCAGAGCACTTTTGGAAGCTCTTGTGCAGAAATTATATCCTGAATACTGAGATTCTTGGGCTCAACAGCAAGCATGGCTCTGTAAACTGTTGATTGATGCATTAGTGAGAGTAACCTGTCGTACTCCTATGCTTTTGACCAAGATGATCAAATGTAATTAAGATATTAGCAGTCCACATATGAATATTTTAACTTAAACCAGGGTGTTATTTCCTCTGCATGCAAAGTTGGTAGGATCACCTTTTCTTACAGTTGCTGGGGATTTTTGTGATCTTGTAGAGAATGTGGATTCCTTAATTTGTCCTCCATCCCAACATAATGAAGTACTGGTTTTGTGACACAGGGAAGCTGGATGCTCATGGCATGGTGCTACTAGATAAAAATTCATACTTACACTCAGGATCAGTCCTAATCATTTGCAAGAATGAGTTATGGCAGTGCTGTTTCTTCAAACTCTACCCTATGAGTGGAAGTGAACATATCAGAGTTCAATTTGAAGTAAGCTTCTTGTCAATGTGGCTGTTGCAAAAAACTCAGAAATATAAATAACAAAGTTGAAAGTTTTGTGATCCAAAAAAAAATATGATGAATTATTCTAAAAATGTAAAGGTAGTGGTAGAACAGGGCAGTAATTTGATTTGCATGTGTGTGGTTTTCTTGGATTTGTTTTGTTTACCCACCTGGAGAGTTGTTCTGCCTGTGGGTCAGTTCCCTCTCAAAAAAGGGCGCTCACTCCTGCTTTTGGGCTAGAAAACGGAAACCCTGTAGGTACATAAACTAGCTGAAAATCCACTTAGAGAAATAACTGTTTTAGCTCAAGTATCTCCAGTTATTATTTGTCTCTCATTAGGTAGGTTTTGGCTGCAGGAAATAATAAGTAAACTTAGTCTTTTTTTAATTTTTAAATTACTGCAATCTCATTGCTTGAGTAACATCAATTACTTAACAGTAGGGCGAAGAACCATATAGCTAGATAGGACATTAACTTCTCTGTCATCTTAATTACTTGTCAGAATATTAAACTATGTTATTTTATAAATAACAGAATAAGCAAAATTTTATAGGAAACTTGACATGATTTTATGCTTGGTTTTGTATAAAAGCTTTGAAGAACTTTTTGCTGAAGAACTCTTACAGAATATTCCTGAAGAAAATTTTGCATAGTAGAATTAAGTATGTGCTAGTTGTTTTAAGCAAATTATATTGGAAGTTTGATTTAGAACTTGAAAGTTGATGAGAAAAAATTCAAAGAGGATATCTATGTAGAATGAGATTGTGTGGCACTATAAGCTTCCAAACAGCTTTAAAAACTTGATATCTTAGTATAGCTCTAGAAAGTGGCTTTTGGTGAAAGTTTAGTTAGAGCGTTTAGCTTTTTCAGCCTTTCAAATGAAGCACTTGTTATTACATACATACAGTATCTGTTTTAAAATTGCTTCTGTTAGTCGAAGGGAATTGTGCAGAATTCCTAGAACCTTAAAAATAGCTAAGATACATTTGTTTCCCTTTGGCACAATTTTTGAAGTTTGAATTCTCTTTCTCAGGTGTTTTTTAGATGTTTGTGTTGTTATGATTCAGTAGATATTTTCTTGGGGATTTTAGGTAAGAGTGAAGGCAAACAAGGACTCTTAAATTTGTTTCCTCTGTAAATCAGGGTTGTCCCTTTCTTTTCTTAAAATCTGAGTGTGTTCCTTTTGGGTAAATAGCTAGTTTAATGTCATTTGCTTTTTAGCCTTTTTTTAAGGACATAGCACTATCCCTTTAACCTGAAAAACAGAATATAATACTTGTTATCCCTAAAGTAAGTGGTATTTTTAAGACAGGACTTCGAATTGCTTTTGCCAGTGGCCTTTCCAACCAGGCGAAGGATTGCTGCTTTTAATTGCAGAACTATCTTGCATATAAAAATGAATGGTCTATATATAATTTCAAATAGCTTTTTTTCTTTTCTTGCTTTTTTTAGGTTAAAAATATTGGGAACTACTTTAAACATCATCTGCTGCAGTCGAGGCACAGGGGAGCATTTGAATTGGCATACGCTGGCTTTGTGCAACTTACGGAAATGCTTTCCAGGTAGATGGGCAACTCAGTATGTTTGTAGTATAATAGTTTTACCAAACTGTGGCATCGATGCTGAAGCTGGCTGTGCAAGCAGATCCTTGATATCATGAGGATTTTATTAGGAGTTTGGTGTAGGCGTGTTTATGCCATTAGTTAGTGACGTCTGTGACTTGGACTGCGATACTTATGGTTAGAGATGGTGCTTAGGCGTTGAAAGATGATACAGACATTTAGTGCTTGCTGCATTTTTCTCCATTTCTGGCGTGTTAGTTTACTGAACAGCTCTCAAGAGCTCCTGGGAGAAGTAGGAGGGTTGAATTCTTTCCTCCCAACCACCCTTCCCTAGTCCTTTATGAAAATGAGTGCCAGACTTTTTGTTTCAGCCAGGATGTTTTCCTGGAAACTTTCATAACTTGTCACTGAGTTGTGTATTCTGACGTTTGGAAGAGTACCTGGCAGTGCATCACAAGATGTGATAGGCAATCTTTTTTAATTAATTTTTTTTCTTCCCCCTTGTAACTTTGTTCTTTCCTAGAAGAACTAAATAAGCAGAATTATTCTGAGGTCTGGGCAAGAGCATTGGAATTTTCATTGCATGTTTAGTTACCTATTTTAAGTATTGGTGATGTTTCTTTGTGATATATAGTGATTGTATCATATCCAGTCTTTTTAATAAGACAAAATCTCTGCTGACTTTGTAGATATCAGTGGGGGATTTTTTTAATGTAATTTTTGGAAAGACTAGTCAAATTTTCAATTTGAAGTATATGTATTTTTGTACTAATACCAAGTAAAGTAACCAGTGTTCTCCCTTTGCTTGTAGTGGGCCAGTTTGAGGCACTAATCTGTTTCTTGTTTGTTTTGGGTAGAAAGGAAGAGAGGATAGGTTGGTTTGTTTTGTTGGGTATTTTTAAAGTAAGAATAAATCTGGGTATTTTTAAAGTAAGAATAAATCTGGTGATGGAAACAGTTTTGGTGGTTTTAGTATAGACCAGCTGCTTGGCCAGGTTTGTTGTGTGTCCCCTCAGACAGTTTTCCCAGCAGAACTGAGGGATTGGTCTCTGGTACAGGATGTCCGTGGGGAAGCTACATTATAGGGACCAGCACTGCTACAGAAATTGATATTTTGCACATTATGTCCTTCATCCTCTATGCCAGTGAGATGCTAAATGATAAGCCACGGTCTGTTGGTGATATATCTATAGAATGTACATTATTTCTTTTTTCCTTTTATGTGCTAGGAATCTGAAGCATTTTACATTGAGTGGTTGGTGAGAGCTCACACAACCTTACTTTACATCTGATAATTTACTTAAAAAGAAACTGACGTGTGATACTGTTCTTACATTTTTGCCTATCTATATATTACATTATATACACTTGTGTAAATGTGGTGTTCTTCTATACTAGGAAAACTTGGTTCAGAAAGTTTTAAGGTGATGTATCGGAGGACGTTTTAAGGTGATGTATCAGATGATTGCTTGGTGGCACCCTTTGAGCTGACTTCATATTAACTTCCCTGCTGGGCTAGATCTTTTCTGTTCTCAGTGCTGTGAGTATTGAGAGAGCAGCTTCTACAGGGAGCAAGAAAAAGCTTGTGAAGATGAGTGACTGGAAACGTATTATGGTGAACAACAGTTGAGGTGCTCCCACCTATCTGGGCAGCCTTCTAGAGAAGTGGTTTTACTGTCACATCAATTAGTGACTCTAATTTGAATGGGTTACAGAGCAGTCATTTTATACGTTCCATTTGTCCAAGTACAAAGCATTGTTTGGCTGTCTGCTGCATGTTTCTGGATGATATTTATAGATACTTTAGCACCTTATTTAGATACTTTATTCCTCTCATTAGTCTGAAGAGGGACTGGCCATCAGAGTAATACTGTTTAAAAAACAAACCAACCCTAAAAACCGCGGACCTTTTACTATCACCAGCCTCTTTGAGGGGAGAAAGGAGGTGATCCAGACAGGTGCAGCCCCACTAGTCTTATCTCAGTCAGTATGCAGGATTATCTAGAACAAACTTTGTAGGAAAGGCAGACTAAAAAGCAGGAAATACTGGAAAACGTATGAAACGTGCTGTCAGTTTATAGCAGAGTCTCTATGCGGCAGACAAGCTGCTTTTCCTTTGATTTTCATTTTTTAAATTTCTTTTAAAAGCTGAGGCAAATAGAGCAAACTTACCCAGACTTCAGAGAAGTTCCTGATGTATTTGTTCACTCTCCCTTTTTCTGCCATTGTATTTAATGACGCACAATCAACTTAAGAGCAGCTTTATATAATGTTGTAAAATGGGGAGCCAGGCTGAAGAGAACTCTGTTTGTCTGGCAGTTATTAAACCATTAAGCAGTATACATACATGATTTTAAAACAAAACAAAAAAAGCTTATAATTAAGTGATTTTCCTCTTCTGAATTAACAGTACTCCAAAATAGTTTATTGATGTGTACTGCTTAGTATTTTTAAAGGTATTTCAGTTAGGGCAGGTATTCCTTTGGGAAAAGCCAGTTTAGAAGAACCAGTGAGCAGCTCTGTGGAGATGTATTTATTTCAATGAAAGAAAATATTTTCCAGGACATATGGGTCTCAAGGCTAATATTTGTATTTGAAACGAAGGAAAAAGGAGGCTGGTATTAGAATAGCCGATGTCTTTTTGGTTTGGTACTCCTGGGACATGAGGCGAATTAAGTCTCTTGGTGAATGCAGTCACCCTGCGGGTCTGTTGTGTCCCAGAGCCTTTCCATGTACCCTGGTGCAGCTGAGGGGCTCTGTTCTGCAGGTAAATCCGAGCTGGCCCGCCTCTCTCTATGGCTGCCAGGCTCATGGACAGTCTTGAAGCATGTGTACCAGAATTGATATGAATTTACTGCTGCATCCACAAATACCAGAGGAGAAAGCCTTTGTCTGGGGCAGTTTACAGTAATGTACAGCTTTAACATGATACCTTGTTGAACAGAGTTGAACTCAAGACCTAAAGAAGCATCCTTGACACTTTAATTGATTCTTTCTCTAAGACCCAGTGAAAAATATTTCACTACTACTATGCCAAATCCCATTCCCATGCTTTTATGAAACACTCTAGTTGAACATGGTCCTCCACTTTTAGAGCCAAACATTTGCTTAAAAGTATATGCTGGAATATTTACCATTTGAGCTTGCTTTTAGCTATACAGTCTTTAAATACCAGCTTTTATAAGAACCATGAGTAGAATTCTTTCTAGACAGAGCAATGGTATTCAGACTTGAGTTGGTGGTGAAAGAAAAATATTTCTTTCACAGAGATTTCTTATGAACCTGATGAAATTTGATCTCTGTCTTGACATTTGGATGTAAATTGCTGAGTCTGCTCTAAGGATGCCAGTTACCATTCTTCCTTTTCCCTGTTCATATTCCCCCTATGAATGTAACGCTCCCTTCGCTGTGCCTGCTTAACACTGTCTGCAGCTGCACCTTCAGAAAACTGTACAGTTACAAAACAAGCAACGATCATATCAATGAAATAAGCAAAGTTTTTGTAAAAAAATACTTTCCTTTCACAGGCCCCGAGAAATTACAAATGCTCATTTAGTCTGATAACATGGTGGTTACAGAAAGTACTTGGAAACCTGAGGGCATCTGTTCTGAACTTGAATCTCCTGTAGCCCGTATAAATATCCAAACAACTTCTCAGTTCCAAATGGCGTTTTGCTTGTTCTGCTTTTATTTTATTTTATTTTATTTAGTGAAACTTTTCTGAGAAATCAAGTAGAACATAAGGATTTCTGGAGATCTCAAAATCACGATGTTGCATAGCTATGGCTGCAGTGCTTTCCTTCACTGCAGTTGCAGAATGCAAGGAGAAGGTTTGGAATCAGTAATACCGTACAGCACAATGCAAGTGTTCAATGGAGCTTAAATTAAACTTGGTGAACACAGTTTTATGTATATGCCACAAGTTAGGACCATATCATACAGTTTTCTGAAAAAATGTAGTGATAAAGAAAAAAACCGCTCTGATTTTACAAATGTTTGATCCAGTATCAGTGGAAATTATTCACCTGTACATGCTAGGTGTCTGATCTTCTGTAATATTTCTGTTGGGTAGCTGGGAACAGACCCTCCTAATCCCTTGCAGTAAACTGGGCTTCTGACTCATTTTGCTGCTCTGAAGTGACCGTGAACCCCTTTCCTTTCCAGGGCCCTATGGCCTGCTAGGAAAACTTCTTGGAAACTTTAAAAATCATGGATGGACTTCCTAGTGAAATGTAGTAGAATTGTTACTAACTTTTCATAAAAAATGTAATCACAGATGTGAAGGGAAGAGTCTAAAATGAAGGAGAGAAAGAAAACTAGGGGGAGGAAAAACTGTTTTTATGTATTTTTGTGCTGGTAGAGTTGGGAGGTACACTGTATAATGAAGTACAGCATAATGAATATAGTGTTAAGGCATTGCTCAGATTGAAGACATGTCAATTTTTAACTCTGTTCCTATTTTTCACCCATTTCTTTTCCTGCTTGGTGAAAGAGAGAGATAGGAGTAGTGATACTGTCTTTCTGAAATTTTGGGGCCACCCAAGGTTCTCTCTGCTCTGCTTGAGAAACCTCGAAACAGTACGTTTCTCAGTGCACCTATAGAATTTAGAAATTTTTGCTTCATTTAGAGTAGATGCTATGGAAAGGAGGATGCAAGTGGAAGGACTTTGGAGCTTCAGAGGAGTTGTTCTTAAAAGCAGACCTTTTTCAATGGTGACTTACGCCTTGAATAGTAATGTGTTTCTGAGGCTAGATTCTTGTCTCCTTAATTATCTGATAAGTGCTAGGGCCAATATGTAAAGTAGCTTTATAAAGAGTAGGAATTGCATTACTTATGTGAAAAAGAATAATACTACAGGTCTATGAAGAGACTAAGTATGGCAAAAGAAAACCCCTTTTTCCCCAGATCGGGACTGATTTCAGCAATTGGAAACACTGAATACTGGCTATATCCATGTAGAAAATGCTTCTGGTCCTGTGCAGTTTATGCCACAAACCACCGACATCCAGGAAGGCCAAATCCATCATCGACCCTTTGTTCTTAACACACCATTAATTTTGGATAGGAGAAAATACAGCCATATGAGTTAGGGAGAGGGGTTTAGCTTTAACTTGGGATCACCAAGCTCTTTGTATTCATTGATACTGACCACAGAAAGGGTTTTGGGCAGGTATGAAATTGTTTTAAACCGACAGACAGATGGGCAGAAATTTGTAGAAAACAGATTTTATTTTACTGTATTGCATCTTAAGTAATTTGTGTATCAAGTTACTGTGTTTTTTTTATTTATTAACACTGCTTTTTTGATCTGGTAAAAATAACTACTATTTCATTCCGGAAAATGACATTAGAGCTTGAGACCTCTAGTTTTACACTGTAAAGCTCCATTATTCTTAAAATTTAGGACCACCTGCTTCTTAAGACAATATTCTTCTTGCCAGACCATAAGGAGACAGAGTTGCCAAATCTAAGGGAGTAGTCATCTCTATTGCAAAGACAATAGTCTCTGTTTCTAACTTTAAAGCAATAACTCTTTCACCTTTAAAAAAAAGGTGCCTTGGTGGGTGAGTGAACAAGGTAGAATTACTTGTGGCTAGATCAAAGCAATACGGTTTTAAGGCAGTCTGAAGTTTATTGGATTTCAGTATATTTCTACTCTTTCTACTACTACTGGAAGGGGGAAAAACCCTCAGTTTACTTAAGAATTAAATATTCAGTATGCTACGCAGCAACTTTTAAAATATTTCCTTAACGCTTTACTTTGTGTTCTTCTGTACCGCGGCAGATGTGAGTTATGTCTTGCGGGATGTTTGTTTTAATACTAAGATAACACCCTGAAGAGAGATGAGCATTATTCTTTGCGTGACTAAACAGAGATATTTAAATTCTGCTTAGCTAGGGAGGTAAGACCAGATGTGGACATAGTCAGAAGTAGAAGCTTGCAGTACATGTTGACGTGGGTGAAGACAACAGCAGAGACCCACAGAGGAGATCCATAAGAGGTTTTGTGTGGTCTCAACCCTAGAATTGCTTCCTCCTCGTCTACCTGTAAGTGAGCAAAGGAACACGTCCTGAAAGTAAGCAGAGGAAGCTGATTATCAGCAACAGAAAGAGAAAAGTCAAAGAAAACGGAACTCGCCGTGAGTTTCCAGATTAATTTGGTTGCTTCTGTCACAGGCTTGGGGCTGGAAGTGCCTTTCTTTTATGCCGTGGTATGAGGTGACATACCCCTTGTGAAGCCAGGTTTCTCTTGCATTCTAGATTGATGGTTTGCATGCTGGCTGCTGTTTTGAAGAGGTGCTGCCCTTAAAATATGGGGAGAAGGCCTGGCAGCAGTGTAAGAAACTTGTGGTGGAAATCCTAAGGGAATGACTGAAGAGAAAGAAGGTTTGCTGTGGGTTCTCCTGACCTGTCTGGCACTTCCCGTGACCTCTGTTTTCTGCGTTATTAATTTTCTGTTTATTTTGTAAAAGAAGGAAAGGAGGGTTTCACTGCAGATTAAAGCCTAATTTGTTGTTCAATATCAGGTTTTTAGCCTACCTAAATTCTTGCTGTAGTAAGAGGAGGGTAAAGAAGGAGAAAGTAGATGTAGATCTTCCATTAGATTTTGGTTTTCACATCAGTACGTGCTGCCTTTTAGCTTTGCTTTTATTTATTTCAGTCACCTGGGTAGAAAACTTGATTGTAGTCTTATTGTAAAGTCTCACTACTTAGTCACGAATTTAATTATAGTTTATATTTTTAGGCAAGGCAAGTCCTGCATGGCTGAGATAATTGCAGTTGTATTGCCCACTGTGACTAATTCCTTCTTCTACACTGTATCACGTGCCAAACCAGTGTGACACGTTTTAATAACAATGTCCCATTAATAGAAATTTTGGTAACAATGAATGATCCTTTTGGAACATTGACATGAGATTAATGAGCTGGTCTTGCACACTGAGTATGGTTCATTTCACTGAACTGATCAGTACCAACAGTTGAAGCAGACTTGAATTCTTGTCCCTGGAAGTCCTTTGCCGAGGCAACGCCGAGTTTTATAACTGCAGAGTAGGAGTATTTGATGATAGGAGAGCAGTTTAGGCACTTTACCAAAAGTTTGACTGACATAGTGTTTTAAAAAGAGCAGTATGTCTTGTTTTTCATTCCTTCTTCTGCTCTGAGATGTGCTGGGGTATTTACATAATATATGCTTGCTGTGAGGGACTTCAGTTTTGTTTTGTGTGGTTATAAACACAATTGTACGTGTTAGTTAGTGTAAGGGTCATGCATCGGCCACTGTGTGACAACAGAGATGTGTGTTTGTGAAGTGTCACTTCCTACACAGTGACTGTTGTGCATATGTCTTTGTTTTCTTCTCCAGAACAGGGTAATAGTTATTGGCAGAAGTGAGCAGTTACGCTGCTGAAGCACAGAATTGTGTTTTCTGTTCAGTGAAATATCTTTTCCTAGTGGCACTTAATAAGTAGGGTTAATATAATTCGTACCAACACTGAAAAAATGTGCAATTCCTTTTTTAATTTCTGTCTTTATTTCTTAAAAAGTCTGTGTATACGGTTGGAGATCTTCACATATAGCAAGAAGTAGCTCCTAAGGTTACTAATTGCCTTCTTTGACTCTGTACAACTTTCTTACGTACTTGTTTCATGTAGATGTAACAGTGAGAGTCTGCACAAGATGCCAGAGCAGTGGCTAAGCTGTGTGTTAGAAGAAATCAAATCTTGTGATCCTTCGTCTACACTGTGTGCAACCAGACGTAGTGCAGGAATTCCATTCTATATACAGGTACCAAATAATGTTATTTCCTATGACTGATTTTTTTGTTTTTGCTTTGTTTTGTCTTTTTGACCTACTTTCTGGTGAATACGCTTATGTAGTATTTAATTTACTTACTTCAACCCCTTTTGGTCAAACAGCTACTTTTTTAATACAGATTTTAATTGCCTTTGTGCAACCAAGAAGCTGATTGTAATTAAACCATGTTTGGTACTGTTTAGTGGTGCAGTTCTATTGACTATTGAGATTTTTGGCTTGTGGTAGGTTCAGATAGCATTTCAAATCACTGAGCTTAGGCTCTGTGTGGCCTCTGTAATAAACCTGACAAATTTATAAATTAATTCACAGATTAAGTAAAGCTGTGTTAACCATATAACTCTGCTTTGTCCATGCGAAGTGGGAGGGTGGTAAAATATGAACAAAACATCAGAGAATTGTAAAATGGTGGCCTGGAAAATACTACAAAGAACTTGGAAAGTCCACTGAGCAGAATCAAGTGATAGAGTCACACTGACTGGTGTTGACTGACAGTCTGGAGTGCAATGAATAAGTAGGTTACTGAAGACTTACATCTGTGAGGGTGAGGCCATGCTCCAGCAGTCTTCCCGTTCCCGGTGTTGCCATCGGCTCTACACATCCCAGCCTCTGGCTTCTGCCAAGCTCAGACTTGATGGCTGATCAGCTGCCTGGCAGTGTTTTGTCTCTGCTTGAAGTGCCACCTCATCTGAGTGCCTCACAGGAGTGTGCAGCAGCTCATCTCCATCCTTGTGGGGTCAGTCACTGCGGAGTTGGTCTTGCAGATCACACTAAGCTGTTTCCATTCTGTCATTTCTTAAAGCAGCCACGATTGCTTTCTCCTAGATTAAGCTCCATCATTTTAATTTTCAACCAGTTTTCTAAGACAGGAGTCCAAGATTAGCTGCACGATTTGTAACTTTCTCCACTTGCTGAAGTATAGTCTCAAGCACGTTCCAAAAATCTGAGGGACTGCTGGGAGGAAGCTCTCCCTGCCAGAATAATTCATCTTGCTTGTTTTCCGCTGCCCTGAGAGAGCTGAGGCAGCCTGCTTCTGTCTGACCTCTCTTGTGTCCGTCACAGCCTGCTCCTGGCTTTGCTGGATGCATGTGTGCTAGGCAGCAGAGATCAGAAGTAGGGCATTGGTTTTAGAGACCTTTTACCTTCTAAAATTCAGTAGTTAAAGATCTCTCCCTTTTACATCTGTAAGTTGTCTGCAAAATTAATTTAGTGATTTCATGTCTTCTGGTTTCCCCATTCACACCACAGAGTTTGAATCCAGTGGGCACCAGCTGGCATTAATCTTGAGAATGTGAAAAAAAACAAACATGTTTGAATTAATTTTTCATGTAAAAAGTCACACTGTCTAATGTAAAGACTAGGTGGACCCAGTGGTATCCCACTGCAGTTGGCCTACATTACTGAGTCCACATGGCAAAGCTTGCTCTGTGCCATAGCTTTTTGGATAAACAGGTCAGATGCTGCTATTTTGACAACTCTGGAAGAGTACCAAGTTAGTCTAGTCAATTAATCCCAGTGTTCATTCTAAACCTTCTCATTAGTCTGAAATAATCTATTTTTGAATTGTAATTTCATTGTAAAGAGAGGCGATAGTGGATTTTGGCAGTAGTTCTGAATGTGCCTGTAGCACTCAGTAAAATGAATTAAGCCTTAAATAACATGTTGCATTTAGATAATAAAAATACAAGTTGTAATGCATATCCTAACAGTACTGTAATAAGGTTATTTTATTAATGCATAAAATCGAGACTCAGTGTGGTCTTTGCCATCTGCTTCCTGTGACATTTATTTTTGTCCTACTAAAACACATCTGTTTTAATGATAATATGTAATTTTTAAGGTTATAAGCATTTTAAATTAGCTATTTAAAATAGAAATATTATTACCTAATATTACAAAGGTGCAGCTCCAATTAGCGGGTGAGGAAATTGTGGGAAAATACTAGTTACAACTTTAACGTTTTTAGGGTATGAAATTTAGTCTTCAGTTCATTTTCCTCTATGTTATACTTCATGAATACGTTTTGGGTTTTTCCCCTTCTCTCTCTCTGTTCTTCCATTGCTAAAGGTACTGATAAACTGGCAGTGACTACTTCTGGGTTTCTGCCTAACCTCTGTACTTTATTTGGCTTGTAGTTGACCCATTTGGTTGTTCTTTTGTGATGTAAAGTAGTATTAAATATCTTGTTTGAACTGATGCTGAACAGACTCTGGGCCCCAAAACACAAATGGATAGTGATTTTCTATTAGAAGTAAGTGATTTATGATTATCCATTTGTACTAAGTTGGACAAATTCAACAGGAGTTACTAGACAGAGAGAGAAAGACTTAACTACAGTCCTGAATTTTAGAGGACTAAGTTAAAGTTAATTTACATCTCAGCTGGATGTCCGACCCATTGAACTACTGTTTGGAGACAGAAGCATCTCTTCTCTCCTTTTAAAAATTTGCTGCTTGTTTTACCCTGCTTTGGAAACCAGGATTTATTCTTTGGCCAGCCCATGTCATCTTAAATATAGATGTTATTAAACTAAAAAAAAGTCCATAGTAGGAAATGTAAGTATTCATAATATGGCAGATACTTCTGCTGTAATAAATGCTTTTTTGGTGTTCAATAAATTATCTGTTGTATTCAAGCAAATTTTCTTAGGCAGATGGATAGCGACTGAGCAGAGTTTTCTTACTGAAACATTGACCTCTAAGAGGCTTTAAGCCAAACCAAGAGTTAAAACTGGAACTTTTTTCAAATTTTTCTTTAGATTTTGTCTGTGGTCAGAAGCTGTATAACATGATAAATACATGAATGTGGAGCAGAACAAATTTTTAGTTCTTTACTTTAAATTTTCTGTAGGCTTTGTTAGCTTCAGAACCAAAGAAGAGCAAAACAGATTTGCTGAAAATGACAATGAAAGAATTGCTATCTTTGGCTGCACCTTTGAATGAATCCTCAAGTGTAATTCCACAGGTACAATACAGCCTCTCATCAGAGGGCAAATGTCTTATGGGTGTTTGTGTTACTTCAAACAGTTGAGGAAATCTGTGTGCGTTTTTAATGAGGATAATTTGTTTTCATTGTCTATAACTAGATTCTAGAATGTGTTTGCATGTGCAGAGGTTATGAAGTCACTGGAATTTGAAAGTGCATAAGATACTAAAACATGGATTGGGCATAATTTCATAGTTTTTTTCCTAGTAGAGCAAATATAGCCGTATTCATTTTGAATTCATATGATCATTTTACTGCCTGTAGTATATTTCTAAACAAGCAGATGAGTAATTTCCTTTCTACAAGGAAATTAACAAACCAGAATTTGTTTATGGTTAGAGTAAACAGAGTTGCATAAATCATGTTTGCACCAACGTACCATGTGAAAAGTGATTTTATGCATTCTTAGTAACTTCCAGAAGTTAAAAATATATATATTTAATGCATAAAAATATTATTTTAAAGTCAAGATCTGTATCTTCAAAATGTTATCAAATACTTAATCTTTCTGTTTGTCGGTGCAAGCCATAATTTGTTGACAATACATAGAAGTATGTTCTAATGGCTCTGCCAGATCTTCTGCTGGTATAAATTTATGTAGCCTTGTCAAAGTCTGAGAAGCTACACAGATTACCTCCTTCCCCTACAGAGAGGAGAGAAGTATCAGAAAATGCTCCATATGGTGAAGCGAGCCTGGCTGTCAGTTTTAGCTTAATATTGTCCTCCTATAAGTTGTAGTTTATTTTTTCTCACAGTATCTAGAGCATGTCAAGAATGTTGGAAAAAATGATTCTAAACTCTGAAAGTTATTTTTACAGCCATGATAAGCTAAGGAAAAAGGAATGCTGGCCTTCGCTTGCAGTGCCTGGACTGTACTTGCTAGAGGAATATATTTTTAAACTGTAATTGTTTTTAACAGTGTTTACTGCTGCACCATCATTATATATATTTTTAATAGCAGTATTCTCGTATTTAATACAGAAATAAAGTGTTATAAAGGTGTATATGGATTATTTTTGTTTCACATGTTCATTGCTGTAATTATCATATATTAAATTTATGATAGTTTCCAAAGAATATATATTTTTCTTAAATTTCTTCTACCCCCACAGGTTCATGCTTTAAATATCCTTCGGGCACTGTTTAGGGATACACGTTTAGGTGAAAACATCATGCCTTACGTTGCAGATGGAATACAAGTAGCGATTCTAGGTTTTATGTCACCTGTCTGGGCAGTAAGTTAACTCTTAATTTTGTTACTCTAATATAACTGGGTATAGAGTGGTGCTGTTCAGTGAACCTTTGGTCATGCTTATAAATGGCAGTACCACAATTTCTGGAATGTTATATGGTGTAGTATTTTAAGGTGCAATACAGAAAAATGAAACAAAACCAGAAAAAGTCACCAAAACTATGACTTTTTTGCAGGTCTATGTTGATATTTAATGTGATGCACTGATACTGACAAAAAGTAGGGACAAAGATTACCGTATAGATAAAAACGTTTCTGGCTGTTAGATTTTGAGTCAGTGCACATGGCTAGTGAGGACTGCATTTACTTTCATTCTCACTGTTCCTTTACATTTTGATAAAAGATGGTACTCCATGGGGCATATTAAGGTAGAACGTTTCATGATCTGCCACGGACAAGGGTGGTTGCTTGGAACCACTAAAATCTGGACGTATCCCTTGTATTAAAGATGGACATCTCCAAAAAATCGGAACTTTCTGTTAGTGCCACCTTGATTAAGAGGCAAGATGCTATGAATTAATTGTTTCCATGTGCTGACCCATGAACAGTAGGCGCGCACTGTCCTTCACTCAGCTGTTCTTCTTTTCAACTGCACATCGGTGGCTGCACTTAAAAAAATGTTAGTACATTTCAAAGCGATTTTTACAACATAGTTGATGTTATTTTCTTTTTCCTTTAGGTAAGAAATTCATCTACACTTCTGTTTAGTGCCCTGATTACAAGAATTTTTGGGGTTAAAAGAGGGAAAGATGAAAATTCAAAGAAAAATAGGTAAGCTACACTTGGTACCAATTGTAAGTTTGCAAAACATGTCCTTAGCCAGCAACAATTTGCAAATGTTGCTTGCTTTATTGGATATATTTGAATCCTGATGTCACAACAACATCTAGGTTTGCTTAAACTATGCTGCCAAGAAATAAGCGGTAGGGCCAAAAATATCTGCTGTTAAGCACTGAGAGTTAATTTCTACTCATGTGCAGTTTTATAGAAGATGAACATTGCTGAGAGATTTTGGTACCAGTGACTCTTCCGAATACCCAGTCTCTCTTGTGGTCATGAACTAGCCATATTGCTGCTCTTGACAGCAAAGAGAGGGGGTGAAGGAGAAGAGGGGGGATGGTCATATGTGTGTTCCCTAACCTCTAGAGCAGGCCTGGAGGTAATCTCACCCCTACTAATTTGATATTTTTTCCCCTTTAGTCATCTTATCTAGAACATGCTGTCCTCTTTCATGTCTTTTTCTTCCGAGCTCCAAAAATGACAGCTTCCAAAGCTGCTTCTCTACCAAGGGATTCTGCCCTTGAACTCTGTAGTCCTGCTCCAGATCCTCTAGTGTTTCACTTTCTTACGTAAAACCAATTCCCTTGTTACTCTTAAAAGCTCCCCACTCCTGAGAATTCTTGTTTCTCTGCATCCTCCAGTTAGTGTATAAGCACCTCTGTGTTTTATTTGGCTTTCAGCCCCTTCCTTTAGCTTCTGCAGCAAATGAAGCATGCCCATGCCCTGTGCTCTGTAGCTGAGGCTCCTGTTCTAGTAGGGATGTGAAAATAACCCTGGCCGCAGAATAAACTCATTAAAAAATACTCCTGGGGCATTCAGTGGGGCCATAGAGTGGTCACACTATGGATATTGTGTTAACCATTTCAGAAATTCCTAATGGGTTTTCAAATCATGGTCAAGGTATGCAATTTCTGAAAGAAGACAATTGTTATGATTTACCTACAGAAATTCCACTCTTTTTTTTTCTTTTTTTTACTCATTCTACAGGGATTCCTTAGTGTAGACCTATGTGGCTAGTATAATTTTCATGTAGATTATGAGAAACTAAATGTTCTGGGATGATACTAGTCTTTAATCTTTAGATGACAGATAGGTGCCATTTTAGCTGTTTGAAATTATTAATTTCAGGTGTCACTTGTAAAATTAGTTACTTTATATGTATGAATGTGGAGAACAAGTACAGGTGGGAGATTGGAGGGAGATTTCCCTCAGAAAACAGCTCTTCCCCCAAAAAAGATTTGAAATGTCATCTCCCTTGCTCCATGAAATTATCCCTGCTTTGTCATAAACCTAAAGAACTTCTTGCCCAAACCTGGAATTCACTCCTGTAAGCCTGGAAACCCAAGCAGAGCAATAAAAAGTGTTTCTTTCATTCTCACTTTGTTTCTGTAACAGCATTTAAAATTTGGTGGTTGGTTTGTTAGGTTTGGTTTGTTTGGGTTTTTTTTGGTTTTTTTTTTGTTTTGTTTTAAACTTTGATACTGAGCACTTACTGAAAGAGATACAGAACTCCGCTTTTTTAGGATAGTATCCTAGGGGAAAAAACTTCACGCTAACCTCTGCAGTGGGAAGGCAGACTGAGTTCTCCAGTACCTGTGGTGTGGCAAGATACGGAATCTGAGATTTCTGCTTGTGAAATTGCAGAAAGTAATCCATTTGAGCATCTGTTGGAAATGTGGAATACCAGAATGAAGGAAAGTGAATTTTTATGTATTTAAATTGAAGTAATTAAAAAACATATTTTTATGTAGATGACACTGTCAACTTGCTTTTTTTGTTTACAGTAATTTCTTCATAGTAATTTTGACCAAAAGATGTTAAAGCTGGGCTGGCTTCTTTCTCTTCCTCTATTCATTTGGCAGTTTTGCATTAAACACTGTGTGTAGTCTGTCCTGCTGTTTCCCACCTGCAGTCGTCAATACCACGAAACAGGGAATGGAAAAACACTTCTAAGGACAGGTCAGTGAGAGCCAGGTGGCAGAAAAACTGAGGCAGAGATTTACAGTTTCTGACTCCTATCTCTACAGGACATACTGGTTTAGGATAAGAATTACGTAGAGGCGGTTTGGCTATTTTGTTTAAGTTTCTTCCTCTGAACCCCACTGGTGGGTTTAAGGTAGGTTGTGTTTGGGAAGAGATCTGTGTTTTAGGGGTTTGGCACCACGAGGTGTCACCGTTGCTGCACAGCACACTGCAGCCTCATCCCTGGGGTGCAGCTGCGCGTGGACGCTTCTCTTCCAGAGCTCTAAACTTGTTTTGTTTGGTGTTTTCCTGGAACAGAATTAATATATTAAAACCAAGTATTTTTTTTCCCCCAGCTTTTAAATCTGCCAATTTACTCCAGGAACATTAACATTTTAGCAACTTGCATCTCTAGGAGCTTGTGTGAAAGCCCCCTGGGTTTGAGCTGCTTGTTCTGTTGCCTGCAGGATGTTCTGTTTGCATTAAGGGGCAATCTGTCTGCGGATGGACATGGGGACCAACTCTGATGCTGCCATTAGGACTTTGCATAGGTTTCCCATTTCTCTGATTTTAGATTAGAGGATTCAATCTGTCTCTCCTGGCTGGGCTGTTCTGGGCATCTGTCTAAAAAAGGATGGACTTTCTGGTTGTTTTCTCAAGAAGAGTTCCTATGAAATTGGTACAGTTGGGGTGGTGGAGAGTTTGTGTAGACCTCCAGAGGAAAGTGTTGTTGGAACAGTGCTGTCAACTTAACTCTGCTGTTGTGTTACTTTAACATAGGTACTTCGTGTTGTGTTTCCCTTTGTTTCTCTTTATCTCCACTAAAAATTCACATACGGACATCCCTTTCACCCCTCAAACTTTCCTGTGTCATTTTGGCTGTTTGCAGTAGAACAACTGTGTGATAGGGCCCCTCACTCCATTACAAAGAGAGTGAGAGAATGCTAACTCTGCTGACAGACGTTTTAAGTGACATCTGCAGTGGCCATCCCTATTGGAGAGCAGAGGCAAGAAAGCACATTGAGCTGGGCTTTGTGATCACTGAAGGGGCATTAGGAAGGTCATCCAGAAACGTCTGTCTCAACCCGAGGACAAGGCAGGACTGGATTATGCTCGAGAAGGTCTGCTCTCTGAAAACTTGGTCTGCGGTCTGAGGAAATCTGGGTTGAAGAACTTAACAATTCCACATTGTGACTTGGTTGTGCTGGTTCAGTTGTCAATGAGGCTGTTGGTTTGGTCATCTGCAATGTGTTTGCAACAGCTCTGTTGGCACAGCTGGGGAGTGGAGAACTGGGCCAGTGAAGGAGAGGGATTTCTTCAGCAGAGCTCTGGTCTGATGCCAAACATCACTCCTAGGAGTTCACTGGAAACTTGAAGGGACTACTCCACAGCATGCTCTACAGAAGATGCAGTCATATCCTGTTTTCATTAAATATTGATGCATCTTTTTAATTTTAGCATGGGCAAGGAAATAATGAATTGGAAAATTAATACTTTAAAAATAACAACTGTGTATAGCTCTTGCAAGTAGAAGAGATAGAAGCTGTGTGAAGACTCTTTATGGCAGTCCACACAATTATACAGGCTGAGCTTTCTCTTTCTAGTGAAAAGAAAGTTAGAAACAGAAATTTTCTTTGGGTTCTCTCTTTCTGAGAGAGACTGTATCAAAACTTGTAGTGCTGCTCTAACTGTGTGTGTTTGTATGTGTATATGTGCATGTGTGTATTTGGATGGATGTATTTGGATGCTCTGTGTGGATACATCACAGTGTGGTTTAGAGAAAAGTAATGACCCCTTCTCCACATCTTCCCACCAGCTGCTCTGGAAGCAGCGCTCTGAGGGGCGCGGTGAAGACCCCCCGTGCTGCACTTGGTTAAAAGCAGATGAAATGGAACTTTAAACGGCAGTGAGTTCTATAGACCTATGAGTTTTGCCCCTCAGGTTTTGATGTAATAGTCATTTCTAGTTTTCTTGTGCAGTCAGTTTACAATGCAGCTTTGCCAACTCCACGCACTTTTCAAGAAGCTGGGGTGCAGCGTATGCTTTCTATTCTGTTTTCTTCATGGGTATTTTTTTCCTGTTAGTGTTGCTACAGATTGCAAATCATCTAAAGTAAATGTTTGCTCTAGTTCATGGTAGGCTCTGGTGTTCATCACATGAAAAATTAGGATGTCTTGAGATGAGGAGATTGTCTAAAAATAGAATGGAATATATACTGTGATAGTTAATGCAGTTCTGTACATGGAAGTCAAAATAACTTATGTATAAAGTTAACTGAAATGAATTTTGAAATGTAATTAAGTTTCTCATCGTAGAGTAATTATCTTCTGCCCAGATTAGTTACAGTAGCTCATAGTTACTATGGTGATATGACAATAATAATCATCATCATCATCATCATATAATAACAGTGATACTTTCACCTAAATTCTTACACACACACATATATGTGTCTATATATTGTCTGTATATGCACTATAGATATGTCTGTATATAATACTGGAGTACAGACCAGTGGTCTCTAGTCCAGTGGTATACACACACATGTATCAGAGACCTTTTTGATCTGTAGTTCAGTACTAATTAAAGCTGTTTGTTACTAGACAAGAGTAATTTAATGAAACACCTAGTATTTCTAGCTTTTAGATTTATTTTTTTATAAAGGATAAGCATGATCAGAAATTGCCTTTGAGGCAATTTGTGATTTGACTTAGGATAAGCTTTAGTCTTTAGAGTAATAAAAAAGGATCTTCCTGACATATCTGAAAATGGAATTTTTTGAGTTGGAATATAAATGTTGTGAACTCCTCAGAAAGAATAACCAATGGCCTCAGGTACAGGCTGGGGTTAAAATAATGGATGGAGGGGGGAATTTCCTTAGCTTCTCACCTTGGTGGAGGAGGTTCCAGGAAGGAAAAGCTTCAACTCGTTGATTAAAAAACAGATTTTTAAGCAAGGTGGGAATGGTACATTGCAACGTGGTGGTTTTTACATGAAGTAGCCAGTGTGTGTCTGTGTCTGATATATAT